TCTGATGTTTGATAGCATGTTGTCTAATGACATTCTTGATCTCCTCATATGTACTAATTAACATGCCCAGTTTAAAATGTGGGTCTTCCTCATCATTTTCTGCCCTAAAAACTTCAAATTTTTTATGTTTTCTTGCATGATTCTCTCCATCAGATGAACTGAAGCAGCTTAAAATCTCCTCAGAATCACCATCTGTATCACTGAGTTCTAACTGTTGCCTTTTGTCTGTTGCTGATTCTTTCTGTCTATTACTATTCAAACCAGTCCATTCAGTTTCATTATCAACATAACTATTTTACAACATGTTATCATTCTCACACTTTCGTAATCACTGTCAACCAACGTATCATACTCATNCCAGTCCATTCAGTTTCATTATCAACATAACTATTTTACAACATGTTATCATTCTCACACTTTCGTAATCACTGTCAACCAACGTATCATACTCATTACATTCACTAGATTCACAATCAGGTTCGTATTCACTGTCTGATGCATCAGACTCTGATACTACCCTTTTCCCTTTATCAATTGAGACATCACCATTAACCTGATGATTCTCCATTGTGACTGTTGTATAATAAGATCTTGTTCAAGGACCACATCAATTATAAAATATTGTAACTAACACATTAACTATCATTGAACAGTTTCCAATGCATAAACAAATGGTTTTCAAGGACCACATCAACTTAAAAAAATTGCAACTTATACAAACTATTAACAAAGAGTTTCCAATGCATAAACACAATGCATAAACACACGGTTTCGAACAAACACATAAACTATATAATATTGAATATCGACTTTTACAAATCATTCTTACCCATGAACCTTAGACTCAAATCTATAAGAATGAGTACATACCATAATGGGGAATGTCTTCATCTGCATATTGATTTCCAGTCTTCCGTCATTTGGAACGTATCATCTTGGTGCTTTGCCCTAATGGTCTTCTGCATTGCCCTAATAGTGATCGTGTTTTGCCCTAATTGTGATTTGCCCAACTGAAGCTCTGGTTTGTAAAACAAGTGACTGAAGACATCGAAGAGTCTACTGATCAACTT